GAGTCTGACGAGTTTCGTGCTGCACACCCTACTGTCACTCGTCTGTCAGCCACTGTTGTCACTGACCCGTCGTTTGAGTCTACTGCTGCGTCTGCCTTGGTCACTGAGCTTGTTGACTTTGCGCTAGTCTTGTTGCCGAGTCTGAGTCTGTCTGTCCTCCGTCCGTCGGGGGTGAGTGTGCTCTTAGCACGGACGTCCTTGAGGACAGGCACGAGGACCTTGAGTGTCTTGCAGCCGCTGCGCCTCATCTCGTGGCCATGCTGCTTGCCCTTGAGGAAGACCCAGAAGCACCAAACATCCCGACCCCGTGCTCTTACGCTGAGGCGATCGCGGGTGAGTACTCCTCTCAGTGGCAGACAGCCATGGACGCAGAGATGGCATCCTAGAAGTCCACAAGCACTTACGTCGATGAGGTTCCCCCTCCTGGGGCGAACATCGTCGATGGCATGTGGATTTTCAGGGTGAAGCGGCCGCCAGGTTCTCCACCTGTCTTCAAGGCTCGTTACGTTGCCAGAGGCTTCAGTCAGCGTGAGGGAGTTGACTTCTTCCATACCTTCTCCCCTACCCCGAAGATGACCACTCTTCGGGTGCTGCTGCACGTTGCCGCTCAGCGTGACTACGAGCTTCACTCTCTTGACTTTAGCATAGCCTTCTTACAGGGCAGCCTGCACGAGAAGATCTGGCTGCGCCGCCTACCTGGCTTCACTGGGTCGTTCCCTCCTGGTACCCAGTAGAGCCTCCGGCGGCCAGTCCACAGTCTCCGCCAGGCACCTCGTGAGTGGCACGACACACTAAGGACTACACTTGCGGCTCTTGGGTTCGCTCCTTCGACTGCTGACCCGTCGCTGTTTCTGCGCACCGACACTTCGCTGCCGCCGTTCTACATCCTCGTATACGTCGACGACTTGGTCTTTGCCACTGCTGACACTGAGGCTCTTGCTCTGGTGAAGTCGGAGCTGCAGAAGAGACACACGTGCACTGACCTGGGTGAGCTGCGCAGCTACCTTGGCTTGCAGATCACCCGGGACAGAGCACGCCGCACCATCACACTGACTCAGTCACACATGGTGCAGCAGGTCCTTCAGCGCTTTGGCTTCACCTGGTCCTCCGCACAGCGCACCCCTCTGGCTACAGGTCACTCGCTCTCAGCTCCACCTTCGGACGAGTCCGTAGAGCCGAGTGGTCCTTATCCAGAGCTAGTGGGCTGCCTCATGTACCTGATGACCTGCACTCGACCTGACCTTGCGTACCCTCTTGGCATGTTGGCTCGCTACGTGGCTCCTGGTCGGCACCGAAAGGTGCACATGGATGCTGCGAAGAGGGTACTGCGCTACCTGTGCAGTACATCGGGCATGGGGCTAGTGCTTGGAGGACGGAGCGACGTTGTCCTCACTGGACACTCTGACGCGTCTTGGGTTGACGACCAGGCTACGCAGCGGTCGTCACAGGGTTACACCTTCAGCCTTGGCTCTGGCTCTGTTTCTTGGCGGTCTACTCGCTCGTCTTCTGTTCTCAACTCCAGTTGTGAGGCTGAGATCTACGCCACGGCCATGGCTGCACATGAGTTACACTGGCTTACTTACCTGCTGACCAACTTGGGAGAGAGGCCTCGTTCTCCTCCAGTTCTGTACGTCGACAACAAGGCCGTCATTGCCTTGTGTCAGGAGCACAGAATGGAGCACAGAACGAAGCACATCACTCTGCGTTACTTCCTGGCTCGAGAGTTGCAGCAGCGAGGTCAGCTTCGTCTTGCTCACGTGGCCACTCGGGCCAACACTGCTGTCGGAACCTCACCACCTCCTCACTGGTCTCTCCTCACTTTATCTCTCACAACTGCACTTGTTGCTCCCCCTTGACCTACTGCTGCTCACATCAGCCCTGACCTCCACTGCTTGTAATATCTCCTTACTTCACTACTTGCTCAGCTGACTGCAAGAAATTGTGTTACAAAGGAAACATACAAGCAATATAGCTAATTCTGCCAGGCTCCGCCTATTCTACCAGCTCATCCTCCACCATGCTTGCTCCACCTCTACCCGTCTCTTCTCTGGCTGCGAAGGCTGCCTTCGAGAAGACATACATCCTTGCTGCCTACAACCTGTGTTACCCGCCTCTAGCTACTTTGCCTCCAGCTGACACTCCCAGATCCAGCTGGCTCCTGACAGCTTGCCTGCACACACGGGAAAACAAACAAGCATGCATGCTTACACCCATCCAAGTGCCTGTGGTAAACCCCTGCCTCCGCTGCCTCTGCCATGCTCAATAATTCCGCTCCTCACTCTTCCTCCTCTTACGTAAGTGCCGCCCCACTCCGCTGTCATGCATTCCCCGACCCTTCGCTTCGGCAGACATCACTTCCCTCGCGCCCACTGGTCTCCCCGCACGCTTCAAACCTCACCCTGACCCTTCGCATCCCATAATCGGCACTGCCCTGCTCGCTATATACAGTATATACACTTTGTACACCTCCCTTTCACACCTCGCTATCCCGCTCACATTCATACAAATGTGACACTGCTGATATCTTCACCAAGGCACTTCCGTCTGGTGATCATCAGCGCTTTTGTACTTTGTTAGGCCTTGTGCCTACGTTTCCGCACTTGCTGTAGACTTGCCTGTACTGTGATCTATATATATATACCTGCTTGCTTGCTCTTGCTAGGTAGTGATCACTGTTCTGTTGTTGTTGCATATATACCTCTGCATGTGAACTGGCCTTGTGGCCCTTTGCTTGTGCTCAGAGTGTGTGGTGACGTTGTGATCCACCCTGAGCTTGCTTTGCTTCTCTTGACTGGTCTTGTGACCCCTTGTTCTCCCCCACTTTGCGTATGGGGGTGTGTCAAACTATGTAGGTTGTATTTGTGTAGGCTGTAGTGGGGTAGCCAATATGGTGTACAGAACTTCTAGGGTTTCATATTTGTACCCAACTCTGATCTAGTTCATTCATTCCTGCCTAGCATTCTCAACACCCACCCCCGCTGCTGCCCGCGCTCCTGTGTTAGGGTTTGGGGGTGGAGAGTATGGGGGTGCCGTGTGTGTGAGCCGTCCCCTGCTCCTCCTCCTCCTCCGTCTCCCACTGCTGCAGCTGCCGCTGAGGGGGGTGGATGTGTTGGAGCCATCGGAGTCGTACGGAGGGGGTGGCGTGTGAGCGGTGCTAGAGGTTCAACAGGGGGTGTGTGACACGGGTGTGGGACAGCTGGGGGAAGTTGAGTGGAGGCAATCGTCTTGTCGTCCGCAGCGCCTGAAGTCCAGAGAGCCACGACCCCCTGTGGCCGTGTAGTCGGGGGCTCCCCGACTGGTAGCCACAGTGTGAGCACTCCTAATAGTCCAGAGAGCCAGCTGCGCCTGTCGCCGTGTAGTCCGGGTTTAGCCTGGTAGCGACAGTGCTGCGCACTCCTGGGAGCACAGCGAGCCAGCTGCGCCTGTCGCCGTGTAGTCCGGGTTTAGCCTGGTAGCGACAGTGCTGCGCACTCCTGTTGCCCGTGTGTCTGCAGCTTCAGCCGTCGTCTCGCATCTTCTCGCCCCCACAGTTTCTCCTCCTCCTCACTTGCTCTCTGTGATAGCCTCTAGCTTTGCTTATCATTGTGAACTACTGCTCTGCCTGCTTGTTGTGTTGATTGTACCCCACTTTGACTATGGGGGTGTGTCAGAATGTGATGTTTGTCTAGCCTGCAATGGGGTACTCTATAGCGAGTACAGCCCAAATTAGGGTTTGCTATATGTACTCAACTGCCTGCTAGTGAAAACCCTCTTTCATGTTTCTCGTTTTCTGCCTAGACTTTCTGACAGCAACATCTCAGCTCCCCCTTCCTTCTCGCGTCCCTCCACCCAACCTGACCCCTCGCAGCCCCTCAATGCCACGTGCACGCCCCTCAACAGCCACAGGCATGTCAGCTAGCGAGCTGTCAGCGCCGCACCAGGGGCGCATTCATTAACAAAACATGTGTGATTATGCTAGACAAGGGTGTTAGCTAAATCAGACTATGTAAATAGAATAGTCTGAAGAATCAGACTAAGCTCCAACATTCGTATGGAAAATCAGACCAAAAAAATATGCCCGTCTGATCGTCAGATGGAACGATTTTTTACTTAGGTGTTTTCAGACAGGCCCAAAACCTAGTACCGTAAGAGCCCTGCTCCACACACCTGCGACACGCCGAACGTTCGACACAGGACAAAATAGAAACCGCGCACGGGACACACGACAAAATAGAAACCACGCACGAGACACAAAAGACCGTATTAACACGCGGCTAGCGATAACTCGCTATTGACTCGACGTACCGTACACACACTCGACATCATGACCCATCATACACACACTATTATAAGCATGAAATATATATTATTTCATGCCCTCATTCCATTCCATGCACACACGCATGCACGCAGACGGACAAGCAGCCGAATGCAAACCGTAGGGTTGCACCAAGACTCAATTGGGTGCGCAATGACGCGAACTACATTTTCGTGGTAGTAGTACCGTATAAAACGTAATAAGCGCAATAAGCACAATAAATGTATGTTTGCTATTTTACAAGCGCATGCGCTTATAATTTTTACTCAATTATGAGCGCACCCCCTAAAAAACACTGATTTATTCTGAGCGCACCTGCGATTACGGTAGAAGAATTAAGTGAACCCTTTGAGCCGAGGGTCTGCTATGCCGCCTTGCACGCTGCCGCCAGCTGGCAATGGACTACAAAGCGTTGGGCTAACTAATATCGGATAATCACCCACGACTCTGTAATAAAGCGCCTACCATCACACCACACCATCCCTTGTCACAACTACCACCACCACGAGCCACACGCCAACCGGCCACCCTACACATGCTTCAGCTGCTCCACCTTGGCCAGAACCTTCCTGGAAATGTCCTTGAGCAGCCGCTACTAATATCGGATAATCACCCACGACTCTGTAATAAAGCGCCTACCATCACACCACACCATCCCTTGTCACAACTACCACCACCACGAGCCACACGCCAACCGGCCACCCTACACATGCTTCAGCTGCTCCACCTTGGCCAGAACCTTCCTGGAAATGTCCTTGAGCAGCCGCTCTACGGCCTTGGGGTCCCTGGCCCTTAGCGCCACCTCCCCCCCCTTGCCCGCCTTGCCCTTGCCCTTGCTGTGCACGGGCTCACTGAACGCCAGGTAGTAGTCGATGTCGCACACGTCGGCGAGCAGGTGGAAGACGGGGTCGGGGTCGTCCACGGGGCGGATCTCCAGCACGGCGGCGCCGGGCGGCATGAACACCAGGTCCGCCAGCAGGTTGTCGTGCGGCGCCACCAGCACGTGCGCGCGGTTCAGCAGGTCCTTGCGGCGCGGGATGCTGTGCGCGCCCTCGCGGTACACCACCACGCGGTCCGCGGGGAACAGCTCCTCCAGCTGCTCCTTGAGGCGGAGGGACTTGAGCAGCTCCTCGCGCGCGTTCTTCCACCCCAGCAGCACCACCCAGTCGTTGCGCGGCGTGAACGAGTCCTTGGGCGGCGGGTTCTCCGCCACTGCTGTGGGCCGGTAGTCTGGGGGGAGAGGGGGGCGGGCGAAGAGGAGAGAGGAAGGCAATGGCCGCGGTGCAGCATGGGCATGTGAATTGGATGGTTGGGTGGTAAAAAAGATGGCATGAACACCAAGAGAGGGGGGCTCACCAGAGAGAGGGGGGCTCACACTCACCCGAGTAGAACATGGGAAGGCCGTTCTTGGGGAGGAAGTGGTGGTTGCGGATGTACTGCCACATGGCACGCGATGGTTGGCCGCACCGCTGGTGTAGCGGCTGTAGTGGTGAGGGCGAGGGGGGCGGGAGGTGTTTGAGTTGAGATGACAAGCAAAGACAGGAGGGGGAGGGTGTGAGGTGATGAACTGAGAGCAGAAGTGAGAACAAGCATAGACGCATACAGGGATGGGGACATGCAGAGGTGGGGGCAGGCTGGGGTGCACACGGTGGGCATGTATTGTCCTCGACCATCCCTTCACACCTGCCAAACTTCATCCCTGCCATCCCCCACACGTCACAGCTAACCCACGACTCCAAAGTGCCACCATGCCACCCCACCAGCAAGCCAACCCCCACTACCAGAGCGCACCCCTTCCTTCAGGGAGCGCCCCACCCTCCAAGGACGCGCCCCAACATCCCCCCTCACGGTGCAACACCATGCCATCCCACCAGCATGCCAACTCACCCAACACTTCACCAGCCCTGGAGCGCACTCCCCAGCACAACCCTTCCCCTCCCCCCCTTTGTGAACGCACGAGGATGAGTTTCTCGGCGAAGAAGAGGTCAGCGCCCTGCAGCACGTGCACGTTCATGCGGGAGAGCTGCACGCCGAGGATGTCCTCCGCGCCCAGCGCCACCATCTGCTGCATCTGGTTGCGCCGGTGCGTCAACCGGTGCCCCACCGCCACCGCCACGCCCCTCATCGCTGGCATCACCTGCACCGAGGGCGGGCGGGCAGTGAGGAGGGTTGCGAGGGAAGGACGGGGGACAGGAAGGACAGCAGAGGGCAGACGAGGGTGGAGAGAGGGTGGGGTGAGGAGGGGGGGAATGAGGTGGGAGCACAGAGGTTTGAGAAAGGGAGGGTGAGGGCATGAGGTAGAGCGGCGGCTTGAGAAGGTGTGGCAGCAACTCGCGGTGGAGGCGAGGCGCTGAAAGCGTTGCTATCGCGTGCCGCCTGATGACCAATGACTGTGACCAATGACTGTGACCAGTGATCGTGACCAGTGATCGTGACCAGTGATCGTGACCAGTGATCGTGACCAGTGATCGTGACCAGTGATCGTGACCAGTGATCGTGACCAGTGATCGTGACCAGTGATCGTGACCAGTGATCGTGACCAGTGATCGTGACCAGTGATCGTGACCAGTGATCGTGACCAGTGATCGTGACCAGTGATCGTGACCAGTGATCGTGACCAGTGATCGTGACCAGTGATCGTGACCAGTGATCGTGACCAGTGATCGTGACCAGTGATCGTGACCAGTGATCGTGACCAGTGATCGTGACCAGTGATCGTGACCAGTGATCGTGACCAGTGATCGTGACCAGTGATCGTGACCAGTGATCGTGACCAGTGATCGTGACCAGTGATCGTGACCAGTGATCGTGACCAGTGATCGTGACCAGTGATCGTGACCAGTGATCGTGACCAGTGATCGTGACCAGTGATCGTGACCAGTGATCGTGACCAGTGATCGTGACCAGTGATCGTGACCAGTGATCGTGACCAGTGATCGTGACCAGTGATCGTGACCAGTGATCGTGACCAGTGATCGTGACCAGTGATCGTGACCAGTGATCGTGACCAGTGATCGTGACCAGTGATCGTGACCAGTGATCGTGACCAGTGATCGTGACCAGTGATCGTGACCAGTGATCGTGACCAGTGATCGTGGCAATGTGGGTCATGGCCATGGGTGAGGGTGGCAATGTGGAGCGGCGCACACCTGTGTGAGTGGCACGCACGCACCTTGCGCAGGGAGACGAAGAGTGGGATGAGTTCGAGCAGGTAGGCGCGCGCGGACCAGGCGAACCAGTCGACGAGCGACACGAGCTCCTTGAAGCGCCGCACGCGCGTTCGCCCTGACGCGTAGCGGAAGCTGGCGGCGGCGAGCGTGACGGCACAGGCGTTGTGGTCGAAGAGATGCGTCTCGTTGAACACCTGCCCCGCAAGGTTCACGTACACGTTGTGCAACACCAGCACCTGAGGGGGAGGTAAAAGGGGTGAAAGGGGGTGGTGGAATGGGGGCGTGGGGTCATAGGAGAGGGGACGTGGGAGGGGTTGAGTGCGGTTGTGTGTGGTTGAACAGCTGGCCCGCCAGGTTCATGTACACGTGTGCAGCACCAACACAACACCTACCCAGCAACAGGCGTGTGGGGGGCGAGGTGGGGGGTGGATTTGGGTGGGGAAGGGAGGGGTTGCATTGGAAGCAAGAGGTGCACTGACGTGTGGCGGAGGACAGTGGCAGGGGGACGTGGAGCAGAGGAGCAGTGCAGTGCACTCGGGGGGGAAATGGTTGGGATGAGCAGGTGTGTGGGGAGGATGGAGCCACGGGGGAGGAGGGGGATGAAGGGCTGTGGAGAAGCACAAGGCAAGCGGGACGAGGGAGGGCAAGGGGAGCAGCGACCCATTGTAAGCACGCAGCAGTGTTTGTGGAGGGGGAGTGGAGGGAGTGGAGGGAGTGGTTCGAGTGGAAAAAGTGTCAACTGGCAAGTCCCTTCCCACCCTTACCCCCTCACTCAGCCCCTCTCCCATGTTCCCCCTATTCCTCCCCACCTGCGCGGCCCACTTGGGGTGCGGTTGGAAGTCTGTTTCCTGGATGCAGCTTTCGTCCAGCGAGGGGCAGTTGGTGGGGTACCGCGTGGGCGTGCGGGAGTTGTCCGCCAGGGGCGCCTCCCAGCACGACCCCACGCCGGGGAACCGCTCGTACGCAAACTCAAAGTCGGGGCAGGGGGGGCCGCGCGAGGCGCGCGGAGGGGGCGCGCCCTTGGGTTTGGGTTTGGCTTCGTCGGAGAAGCGTGTGGCGTCGAGGTGCACGCGCTTGAGCAGCGCGCGTGAGATGTCCACCGTCAGGTACGACCGCTGCGGTGTGCCGCCCTCCAGGGGGAACTGCCCGTCCACCGGCTTCCAGTGCGCGTGTGGCGCGCTCAGAAACGCGCTCTCCGCCGCTCCCCCTCCACCCGCTGCGCCCCCTCCCCCCGTCCCTCCCCCGCCCCCTGCAGCTGCGCCCGAGGTGGCGCCCTCTGCCCTCCACTGTCCGCCCTGCTGCTGCTGGGGGAGCGCCTGGGCTGCTGTGCCGCTGCCCCACCCGCTGCCCTCCCCACCCCCTGCGCCGCCCCACTGCCCGCCCTGCCCGCCCTGCTGCAAGGGCAGTGTCCCCTGGGGCATCGCCTGCTGAGGCTCACCCATTCCGCCCGCTGCTCCCCCTCTCAACCCGCCCCACCCGCCCCCGCCAGTACCCATTCCCCCAGCCCCCCCGCCTATCCCGCCCGCCCCCTCTCCCCCTGGCATTTGAATCCCCCCGCCTGTCCCCCATCCGCCCCCCTGTCGCGGAAACCCGTTTCCCCCTCTCCCCGCGTCCCAACCCCCCCCAGCCCCTTGCTGCCCCCACCCCCCTCCCTGCGGGCCCCCCATCCTATCCCCGCCTGCCAGCTGCCGCGGCCCTCCCCCGTCGTTCCGCCAGTCCCCCCCGCCAGCACCCTGCCACCCGCCCGCCGCGCCTTCAAACCCGCGCCGATCCCCAAACTGCCCCCCGGCGCCTCCCCACTCCCCCCTCCCCACTGCGCCCCCCCGCGCGCCCCACTGGTCGTCCCCGCCCATCCAGCGTTCGTCCATTCCGCCCGCGGCCCCGCCCCGCCATGCGCCCATGGGCCCGCCGTGGCGGTACCCCGCCGAGTAGTCGGAGCGCGCGAGGAGGAAGTAGAAGAGCATTCCCGCGCCGCCCAGGAGCAGCAGCGAGCGCATCGACGCCCACCGCGCCGCGTGGTGCGCCGCGTGCGAGTCGGCCGCCGAGCTGCTGGCGCGATCGGAGGCGCGCAGCACCGCCTTCTTCTTCGGGCGCGGCGCCATCGCGCGCTGCGCGGGGCAGAGGGAGGGGGAGGGGAAGGATGGGGATAGAGATGGTGGAATGCGAAACAGGGAGGGAGAATCCTGGGTGAAAAGAGAAGAAGATTGGCGGAGGAGAATGAAACGAGAGTAGTCGAAAGATGGGAGTTATCAGGCGGATAGGAAGGTAGGGTAACAGGATGTTAAGCGACGATCTTGACACACGTGGAGACTGTGTGCGACAATGCTTGCCGTCGCACTGAATCGCACTCACCCGATTTGTCGGAGTGCGCGAGAGGCGCACCCGAAGCGAGCAGCAGCGCGCGACAAGAGAATAAGTTAAACGTGGCTAGGTCAAGGGGACGGCTTGGGAGACGGCCGCAATGCGCGCAAGAATGTGGCGGCGGAGTATGTCGTTTCTAAGGCGTCTCAAAATACGCGTTGGCGCTGAATGCGGCGGGAAATCCGCGCGCGCCAATGCGGATCAGGGGGTGCAGGCAAGGCCGGCGAAAGGAGCTAATAGGCGATTGTGGCGTGAGGGGTGCGCCGGAAAAGTGTGGAAGGGAAATGATGGTGGTTGGGTATTGGAGTGATGTCGGTACGGGTGGATTTGGTTGTACGCGCTAATAATTCATTATTACGAAGATTCTGGTCTGACATAGAAGTTCCATACAACATTGGTAGCCTTGCACTTACAAAGACACCGAGCCAGCCGTATCATACCCCCCGTATTTTTCCAGTTAACTAAATCACTCATGCACGTGACTTGGCAACTTGGCCGGCTTGAAATTCAAAGGCTTTGTCTCATCAACTGAGCAAACCCTAGCGCATTCTAAAGCGTTTGCATTTATTCCTTCCTACTCGGCCGACTGCCAAAATGCTGCACTGAGCACTTATTCATTTCTTTATTGCTTGCCAGTGCACCACGAGCGCAGGCCGCTCTAAGCCGACTGCACGCGGTGGTGACTGACAGCCTCTTCCCTGCTCGCATGCGTCCAGCTTGCAGGCGCACCATGGTGAAGTCCCTTCCCTTCCCTTCCTGTGCACCACGAGCAAGATGGAGAGTCACGCCGCCTGCCTCCCCCCTGCCTGCGGGCGCACAATGGTGGAAGTCCACGCGCGTGCAAAATAGATCTCGCCCGCTGTTGTCGCGCGCCTTGAGCCACAGCGTGTACGCGCCCTGCGGTCACGGGCACGGGCGCGAGGACGTGAGGCAAGAGAGTGCTCACAGCAAGTGCGGTCCAAATCACATCTCACAGCGCGTACGATTAAGGGCAGTGCTCACAGTGCGTATGATCAAGGGCAGTGCTCACAGCGGGGGTGAGGAAGGGCAGTGCTCACAGCGGGGGTGAGGAAGGGCAGTGCTCACAGCGGGGGTGAGGAAGGGCAGGGGCTGTTCATTGGAGAAGGTGAAGGCGCCCGGCAGCACGGGGCAGGGCGTCTTGTCACACAGCTGCACGTTGGAGGCATACACGGGCCACCCGTAGTACGCCACACTCACGCGCACCACGCCTGACTGGATGCGCGTCGCTGGTGGGGGGAGGGGCAGAGAGCGACGATGGGAGTAACGTGGGGGTTGGGGAGAGCAGACTGGATGCTGCTGCTGCTGCTGCTGCTGCTGCTGCTGCTGCTGCTGCTGCTGCTGCTGCTGTGGCGGGGAAAGAAGGAGGTGTGGCTGAATGGGGCGGGGTGAGGAGGGAAGCAGCAAGGAGATGAGTCGAGGACGCGAGGGGCGGAGGGGAACAGAGAAAGGGATGAGGAAATGGGTAGTATTCAATATTTATATATTATTATTTACTTTGTACGCACATAGCTCGCAACCCAACGGCAGCAACCCCCTGCCACACACACGCACCTGTGACGGCGGGCAGCACAACGGTGAAATCCGAGCCGGCGACTGGCGGATCGGGCAGCATCGTGACGTTCTTCACAGTGACGGGCACTTGCTGGGAGCCTGGGGCAGAACGCGCGGAGAGGAATGGCGGGCGGTTGAGGAGAGGGAAGAAGTTAAGGTGCGTGAAGGCCTGATGATGACACCTTGTCTCATCATGACTCCTGACCTCACCATCACACCTGGCCTCGCCTGATCATGACACCTGACAGTGATTTGCTGAGAAGAGGATGGAAGTAAGCAAAAACGAACAGAGGAAAGAGGAGATTAAAGGAGGGTGGTCGGAGAGGTGAGCTGCGACCGGGAGAGGCGAAGGCGAGGAGGCGAGATGGGGAGGAGGTGCACGCAAGGAAGGAGGGGAATCTTGGGCACACGCGCATGGGGGCAGGGCAACGGCACTGGGGTTTGACAGCAAGACGAAGGGGTGTGTGGCGAGAAGGGCTACTCTCGGGAAGAGTCTCACCGCAGTCGTGCCACTGAGCTGCGTCCACGTGGCAGGTGAGCGACAGCAGGAGTGAGACGAGGCACGGCATGAGGAGCAATAACGCCATGGCTGGCTGGGCGGGCGTCAGTGCAGCACAAGACGCAGGGGGGGAGGGGAGGGAACAATAAACGAGGAATCCCGCATCGGTCAGATTTAAGGCTCAGAAGTTTAAGAGAGCGTTTACATTCGCAACTGGCAATTTCCTGACACCCTCGTCCCAGAGGCGAAATAATTTTCTCCAACACCTCTCTCATCAGTGGTGGCCCAGTCTCACATATATCCAAAAGTGAACTCAACATGTCGTTAGTGAGATGAGAGGATACGCCACTCGCTCCTTATTCCGTAAACGAGCACATCTAGACTCGCATATCGGCAGCGTGAAAAGAAAGACTTCAAGAGGCAAGTGCCTGAGATAAGGTTTCAGTGTTTACGCGCGTGCGCCAAGGCCACCCTCTTACTCTCGCCTAGGTCAGGCCATCGTAACACACCCGTTACGCTGGTGAAACGACACTAGCCACGCGCGCCCTCGTTCAACCACAGGGCACAGCACCTCTCACTCCCGTCTCGCCACATCTCGCGGCCTCGCCTCTCCACAATTAGAGGCCTAGCCGGTCGTCGCAACGCGGCCTCATCCCCTTCTATTCGAGACCGCGCCCCCCCCTCCTCTTGCGGCCTCACCGCGCCTCGACTTGAGTCCGCGCCTCCGCTCCCCTCGCGAACTCGTTTCACCTTGCCTCGCAGGTTTCCGGCGCATAACCCCCACCCCCCTTCCTTTCCTTCTCATCTTCCCGACCTTCCTTCCTATCACACCTCTCTTCCTTCACATCTCACCTCCCTCCCTTCCTTCACTTCTTCTCTCTCTTCTTTCCCATCTCACCCTCTTCCTTCCCTTCTCTCTCTTCTTTCCCATCTCAGCTCCCCTCCTTCCCTCCCTTCTCTCTCTTCTTTCACATCTCACCTCCCTTCCTTCCCTTCTTATCTCTCTTCTTTCCCATCTCCCGTCCTTCCCTTCTTCTCTCTCTTCATTCCCAACTCACACCCCTTCCTTCCCTTCTTCTCACTCTTCCTTCCAATCTCACCTCCCCTTCCTTCTTCTCTTTCTTCTTTCCCATCTCACCTCTCTTCCTTCCCATCTCTATTACTTACCTTCCCGTCCTTCCCCCCCCCTTCTCATCTCCTCCCCACCCTTCCTTCCCATCTCCCGTCCCTTCCTTCCCATCACCCCTTTCTTCCTTGTTAGCTCACCTTCCTTGTTAGCTCACCTTCCTTGTTAGCCTTCCTTGGTTACAGTTCAAAGAAGTGTCGAAGAGGGGATGCGCGACGATGGAAAGGGAGGCTCGATGAGAGAGGGTACGACAAAAGCAGGGGAGGGGAGCGCGACAAGGCGGGGAGGCGCGACGAAAGGATACGCGACGAAAGGAGGAGGCGCGACGAACGGAGGAGAGGCGCGACGAACGGAGGGGAGGCGCGACGGAGGGAGGGAAGGCGCGACGAGGCGGCGGGGCGAGACTAGGGGAGGCGCGACAATTGCACGGGAGGAGCGAAGAGGATTTGAGAAGCTTCGACGAGTTGAGGCACCGCTAGTTGCGAGGGATCTTGATCCTTAGTGCCCTTAGAGGCGAATTCGTAAACCTAGCGAGTAACGACCCTTCCAGCTCTCCCTGGCGATGAATTCTTAGGGCGTGTCATAAGAGTTCATTCGGTTGCGGTAGGGATGTTGTGCATGTCAGAACAGTTTGTTAGAAGTTCTTCGCGTTTTGGTAGCGTTTCGAGCAAAAATTGACCCCGTATGACACCTGTCACACAGGTTAGCGGGTTTCAACTCGTAGGGGGCTCATACCGTTCTTTAGAGGGCGTGTAACTTTTTCGATTTGCAAAGTACAGACGACTGTCCCGTACGTACTTGGAGCGGGTTACTGGTTTCGCTATTACTCGTCATCAGGTTCGCCAGAAACCCTGCGACGTCGCCAACGTACGAACCACAACTGGCACTTTCACGCCTCTCACACGTACGTCCAACAGTCCTGACAGAGTCCGGACACCCGTCCGTACTGCCAAACATCTCTGACACCCCATTGGCGCACAAAAAAAGGAATGCAGAAGTCAATGCGGCTCGATTTCCCCGCTCAAATTTCCGTCGCCACGACGCGCCTCATACACATTTTGGACGTCCCCAAAATTACGTGGCACAATGCAGAGGCGCGGTTGGTGTTGGGCGACTTTGACGAGGGGGCAGCGACAGTGGTAGCGAGTGTAACTTGTCGCATGTTTTTTGAATTTCGAAAACACAAAAAGTGTCACAAATGTGGTACGTACGGCACAGCGTCCGAACCACACCCCCTAACGTACGGACGGGGCACAGTCCGTACGTCTGGTAGGCTCCGAACGTACTTTTAGCGTAAACTGAAAAAGTTACACGCCCTTATTATTATTTTTTTTTGGTGGATATAAGTACACTACCGTATACATACATCCGCAGTCGTAACTGTTGCTAGGAGGGCATGAGAAGGTCACAAGTAACCTAACCCCCCTTATCCGTTTACGGAGGCCGGAAGGCTGCCCCACTGTCTTCCCAGATCGCTTTGAAACCCGCCCTCCATGACATCGAAGCCTCAGTCTCGTAAATCCTGCGCATAGCGCTTGCCTCGTCAGCATTCAGGTGGCCCCAGTCACCCGCCCTTCCTGAGCCACTTCTGCCAGCCGACCTCTTCCGCACCCTACTGTAGATCTTCACGTGACTTGTAAAACTGACTGCTATGCGCCTCAGTGCCCTTTTTGGCTGAAACCGACTGCCTCGGAATGCATCTCTCTAGCCACACCTGATGCGCTGTAATGGAAATGATTGCAGCTTCCGGAAAGCCGGATGACGTGCCATTCTTTTGGAAGAGCATGTCGCCGAGAGACCTCATTTCCCTGCCCGGGTTCATGCACTGCACCGCATTTTTCATCACCTCTCCACCGGTTGAATCACTGGGCAGCTGAAAAGGCAGTGATCCTGAGACTCCACCCCGCCGCAGTGCGTGCATTTCGCCCTCGCGCCCAGGAAAGGGAGCCTCTCCCCTACTTGAAGGTTGTTACTGTGCACCCTCAACACCACCTCTCGTGCCCTGCATGGGGTTGCCAGCGAGTCACGGACCGTGATGGTCTTTCCCCAGTCGATCTTCCTCCCCAGCTCCTCTTCCCACCTCAGCTGTTGCTTCGGCTGCACCTCTGAGGGTTTCATCGCCTTCCTCAGCTGCTTCAGATCAGCTCGCTCGCCTTTCTCGCAGACAGGGGAGTAGAGCAGGCGCGTTCTCGGGGCACCCAGCAGGCCTCGGGCCCTCCCGTCAATGACGGCTTCCCCAAGTAGTTTCCCTGCTGCCTCCACTTGCTCTTTCCCTCTCAGAACCAATGTCGTGTCATCTGCATAACCAATGTAGGCCAAATCCCCCTTAATCCCTCTCTTCCTTACTCCCAGCTTCCTGCCCTCAATTTCTTGGCAGAGCGGCTCAACCGCACAGAGGAAGAGGTATGGGGCAAGTGGACAGCCCTGACGCACTCCCTTGGCCATCTCCACCCGCTCCCCTATCCAGCCATTCAGCAGCATCCTAGTCGCCGCCCCATCATGCAGGCCCTTCACCCATCCCACGAACTTCGTTGGGAAACCCATGTTGCCCAGTGTCCTGAACAGGTACTCTCGCGACACCGAGTCGTAGGCCTTCTGAAAATCAACCAGCAACAGCAGCCAGTCCTCATCCTCCTGCTCCGCTGCATCAATCGCATCCGCCACCAGTGAGACAGCGTCGGCGAGGCTCCGTCCCGGGAGGAAGCCGGACTGATTGGGTGAGATCACCTTGGGTAGAACCACCTTGATACGGTTCGCCAACACCTTCGCCAGCAGTTTGTAGAAAAAACTCAGCAGTGTTATCGGACGGTAGTTGCCTAAGTCCTCTCTGCTCCCCTTTTTGTGCAGGAGGATCGTGACCGCTGTCGTGAAAGCCTCCGAAAGCGTCCCCGTCCCCTCGAAGTCTCTGACTTCTTTCATCACCGCCGGGCCCAGCAACCCCCAGTTCCGCTCGAAAAACTCTTTCGGCAGACCATCCTGCCCCGGGGCCTTCCTAGCCGGTAAGCCTTTAAGTGCCGCCAACACCTCCTCCTCTGACCATATTGTCAGAATATTATGCTCTAGCCTGCAGTGGGGTACTCTATAGCGAGTACAACCCAATTAGGGTTTCCTATATGTATGCCAACTGCTGCTAGTGCAAACCCTCCTTTTCTTCATTCTTACTATCTTTACTATCTTGACATGCTATCAGAGCAGGTCGACCCTCCTGGGTCGATCCTGTGGGTGGGCCCACCACCTAAGCCTTCCGCTGCTACTGCTACTGCTACTGCTACTCTGTGTGTCGCACGCCTCGTGGCGTGCGACGGATTTTTCATCCCGCCGTGCGCCCCGAGGTGTGCGGCGGTTTTCTGCCCGCCGTGCGCCCCGAGGCGCGCGGCGGTTCTCTGCCCGCCGTGCGCCCCGGGCCGCGCGGCGGTTTTCTCCCCCCGTCGCCCGCCGAAGCGCCCCCGGGGACCCGCGCGTCGCCCCCGTCGCCCGTGCGCGGCCCGTACTGCACGAGCGCGGCCCGTACAGGCTGCGCCAGGCCCGCGCGCGGCCTGTCCTGCACGCGCGCGGCCCGTACGGGCTGCGCCAGGCCCGCGCGCGGCCCGTACAACCCGCGCGCTGCTCGTACGGGCTGCGCCAGGCCCGCGCGCGGCCCGTACGGCCTGCGCCAGGCCCGCGCGCGGCCCGTACGGGCTGCGCCTGGCCCGCGCGCGCCTCGGGCCGCCTGCGCGCGGTTCGTACGGGCTGCGCCTGGCCCGCGGGCGCCCGGTCTCCTCTCCCACTGAGCTGCACGCCGTCCCTCGCGCTTCTGACGGCGCCCCACCCCTGCTGCTGCCCGTACTCCTGAATTAGGGTTTGGGGGTGGAGCGTATGGGGGTGCCGTCTCTGTCAGCCGTCCCCTGCTCCTCCTCCTCCTCCGTCTCCCACTGCTGCAGCTGCTGCTCAGGGGGGTGGGTGTGTGGGAGCCGAGGGTTTAGGGTTTAAGGGGGGTGCCATGGGAGTGGAGCTAGGGTTTCAGCAGGGGGTGTGTGTTGGGGGGTGTGGGACAGTTGGAGGAGGTTGGGTGGAGGCAGCCGTCGTGTCGTCTGCAGCGCCTGTATTCCGGGGTTCTGATAGCCACCGGTAGCTCAGAGAGCCGGTTGCACCTGTCGCCCGTGGGTCCGTTGCTCCTGTCGCTGCTGATCAGACGCAGAGCCTGTTACTCCTGTATTCCGGGGCCCTTGCTCCCGGTAGCCACTAGAGTTGCACCAGAGCCGTCTGTTGCCCGTGTGTCTGCAGCTTCAGTCGTCGCCTCCACTCTTCTCTCCTCTCGCCAGCCCTCCTCCTCCTCACTTGCCCTCTGTAACTGCCTCTAGCTTTGCTCATAATTGTGCACTTTAAACTATTGCTTCTTAAACTTGTGCTCAGAATGTGTGGTGACATTGTGATCCACCCTGAGCTTGTACTGCTTTGCTTTCTCTGCTGATTACACCCCACTTTGGCTATGGGGGTGTGTCAGAATATTATGCTCTAGCCTGCAGTGGGGTACTCTATAGCGAGTACAACCCAATTAGGGTTTCCTATATGTATGCCAACTGCTGCTAGTGCAAACCCTCCTTTTCTTCATTCTTACTATCTTTTCTATCTTGACACATATCTCAACTAACTGCGAGCGATCCGCGTCCTGCAGCCTCCTGCTTTCCTCAATCGGCCACTGTTCCGCTAGGGGAAGCGACGGCGCTGAAGCATATGCCTCGCGAAAGTGCTCCGATGCCGCTTGCAACACCTCACTGGCTCCCTTCCTCAACACCCCTTTGTAGGTGAGCTCCGTAATCTCTGTCTTCGCCTTTCTTGACTTAACGAGGCCTGACAGGAAGCCTGATGGTGTTTCCCCCGCCAATTCTTGTAGTAACCCTGACAGGATCTGCAACCTCTCCTTATTGCTGTCCTGGTAGAGCTTGAGAGCCGCCTCATTTTTAACCAACTCCTCATACAGAGTCTGCGAGGAGGAGTCCGCCATCACTTTCCATCGGAGCTCCTCCACTTTCTTTTCCAGGTGCACCATGGTCGCTTTAACCCTCTTTCTCTCCTCTGCTACATGAGCTCTCATGCATGCACGCAGGCTTGACACCAACCTCTCCAAGCCCTGCTCCGGTCGACTCGCCTGTGCTTCCACCACCGCCGATATGATATTTCTGACACCTTCACCCCCAGCCTGAGGCGCCTGAAGCCTCCACAGCCCCGGGCCATGGTCGTCAGCTGACGCAGACTTAAGCGACACCATCACTGCAAACCAGTGGTCCGTCAAGCCGTACGGTACCATCCTGTGTTTCGCCTCCGTTACGGAGTTAAGTAGAGAGTGTGAGACTAACGCTCTGTCAATCCGTGTGCTCGTCTTTGCAGATCTGGAAAAGAAAGTGTACTCCTTCCTGGTCGGGTGGAGGCTCCGGAAAGCATCATGCAGGTCCCATCGCGAACAAATCTGCAGGTTCCAAGCTTTGAAGACTTATCAAGCTCCGGGTCCGCTACAATGTTCAGGTCTCCAAGGAGAATGGTGTGCGGAGAGGCACTTAGGCCCTGCACGAACGGCGTCAGTACATCCCGGAAGAAAACCCCCCGAACAGGTCCCTGCGCGGGAAAGTACGCAGCCACCACCCTACACCGCAAATCGCGCCATGCGAACAATAGGCTCAGAAGCCTACCAGACTCATGTTTAACCACTTCCGTGAAGCGCATACCTGGCAGGAACCCCAAAACGGCCAGTCCCCCAGCCCTCTGAGACGGCCCAACCACCGCCTGAGCCTCAGATCTAACTTGTGTCCAAAAATTATGATCGGCTGGAATCCTCTTGTCGGTGAGTACCACAATGTTAGCAGCTTTCCTTATCCATTTTCCGCATCGTTCCTGCTTCCCATTGCTACCGAGCCCGATGATGTTGAGCTCGAGGAGTGTAAGGTTATTGCGCTTATCCATTAATCCACTGGTCAGAGCCCCACAGCATCCACGGGCGGTTAAGCTTTATTGCGACAATACAGCCGGCTACAGCAAAGGAGAGCATGGCACCAACAACACAGCCCGCCCCCACGATCCAGCACGATGCCTCATCCAGGCCCATCCAGGTGACATTTCCCGAGCCACTGATCACTTCGTTGCAGGTTTGATGATGAAGTCCTTTTTGAAAGCAGCTATCTTCTGAGACTGCTTGCTGGCACGCGTTGTAGCACCGTCTTTCCGCAGCCCCCCTTTGTGCCTGGCAGACGCAACATGGGCCGCCCCCTGTTCGAACCGGTTCCCCTGCGCCTTTTCGCACACGGTCTGTACGCACACCCACTCCTCCCTCAATCCGCCTGTGGAGGTGAGTACAACAGCGGGGTCCTTCAGGATACGCTTCATCTGAGCTGAAGCTGTCAGGGATGCAGCTGCGAGAAGAGGTGGGAAAGCGGCCGTCAGTAAAAGTCAGGAAGCGCGATTCAAGCGGTAAGGAAAACGAGGGTACAAGGAGGTGGACAGAGCGCCGTATACCGTTCATCTCATGAACCTTTTTGACCGTCAGGTTCCAGTTGGTGAAGTTTTCCTGTCTCGTGGTAACATAATGATCATGGTAATGAGCCAAATGAGGGCCATTGCACAGCTCGCAGGTGAGTGACGGGAAGTGCAGCAAGTAACGCTTCCCTGTCGACGGGTCTTCCACAAAAAACCTCCAGCGGTACTCATCGTCAGCATGAGGAACAATCAAACCACGGACACGGTCAGTATCCAACCCTGTGACCGGGTCGAGCGTACGGTGAAAGCCAAAACCGCTGGCAAAGGCACTTCTGCCACGCTTCACCAACTTGGCCACCACCAGCAAGTGACGAATGAGCTCGGCAGTTATCTCAGCCGGAACACCCTTGACCACCACCTCCTTCGCCGACGGGTTCAAAACACGTTCTCAAAGGAAACGCGCATCTTCTGGGAACTGCCAGGTGAGGTCGATGATGTCACCATTCACGCACTCATGACGGATGACTTGATTCCAGATGAAATTCGCGTCCCTGACGTGATTAAAAGTGACCTGGAGGCGACCATAGCGAGTTCCTGGAAAATACATCGCCGGAAGCTCCTGGTAAGTCGTCGTCTGCAGCACATCAGGAGACAGCTGATCCGTGTAATCATCCAACAGAGCCGCAACCGTTACTGCAGCACGCTTAACTTCGGCCTTCCTGAAGATCGGCACCAACAAGGTTAGTGGAAAGCGTTTCAAAGCAATGACACTACTGAGCGAGTCAGGTTCCAAGTGCTCGTCGGAGTCATCGCTCAAATAGCCGTCGTCTTCGTCGTCAGGGGTCGGGTCAGCAGAGTCTTCATCTTCAACATTTACGGCTGCATCAGCGTCGGTCTGATCACCATCAGGTGCTTGTTCCTTATTATCCGCAACCTCTTCACCAGTACCATCAGCGTCACCATCAGCAGTCACAGCGGCATCATCAGACTTATTCTGCAGATCCGACAAGTCTTCGAACGGGCCGACCACCACGGGAGGCGTTGCAGCATCTCGACCCTTGCCTGCAGCATCAGCCTCCGGTACATCAGGTACGGGAACCATCGTCACCTTATCCTGAGCAGTCTTCCTTCCAGGCTTGTTGCTGCGCCCTTTCACCATTGTGCGATGATGAGATTGTCAGAATGAACGGACAGGAATGAGGAACTAGAAAGGATGGTGAGTACAAATATGAAACCCTAATGTTGTGACCCCCCTATAGGCTAACCCACTACAGCCTACACAAATACAACATATATAATATTTGACACACCCCCATAGGCAAAGTGGGGGAGACCTAGGGGTCACAAGACCAGTCAAGGCAAAGCAAGGCAACAACAAGCTCAGGGTGGATCTCAAGGATTCCACACAAATTCCGAGCACAAGCTAGTGGTCACAAGACCAGTTCACATGCAGGTTTATAACAGAGCAAGAGATACAGTGATCACAACCTAGCAAGAGTAAACATGCAGGTATAGATATATATAGTGATCACAGTACAAGCAAAGTCAAGAGGTAAGTAAGTGAGGTCCAGTAGGCACAAGGCCTAGTAGAGTGCAGAAGCGCTGATGGTCACGAGGCTGAAGCGCCTTGGTGAACACATCAGCAGTGTTGGCCTCAGTGGCCACGTAGCGAATACAAAGCTGACCGCGCTGCTGCAGCTCACGAGCAAGGAAGTACCGCAGGGCGATGTGCTTCGTTCTGTGCTCCAGTCTGTGCTCCTCACACAAGGCAATGGCAGCCTTGTTGTCGACGTACAGTACTGGAGGAGAACGAGGCCGCTCTCCGAGGTCGGTCAGCAGGTAGGTCAGCCAGCGTAGCTCCTGGGCAGCCATGGCTGTAGCGTAGATCTCAGCCTCGCAACTGGAGCCGAGAACAGAAGAAGAGCGTGTAGAGCGCCAAGAAACTGAGCCAGAGCCAAGGCTGAAGGTGTAACCCTGAGACGACCGCTGAGTGGCCTGGTCGTCTGCCCAAGAAGCGTCTGAGTGCCCTGTGAGAACAACTCGGTCTCGCCCTCCAAGCACAAGCCCCATGCCCGACGTACTGCACAAGTAGCGCAACACCCTCTTAGCGGCATCCATGTGCTCCTTCCTGTGACGGCCAGGAGCGACATAGCGTGCAAGGATGCTAAGAGGGTATGCAAGGTCAGGTCGAGTGCAGGTCATCAGGTACATGAGGCAGCCCACAAGCTCTAGATACGGGCCACTCGGCTCTACGGACTCATCCGAAGGCAGAGCTGAGAGCGAGTGACCGGTAGGCAGAGGAGTGGACTGAGGCGAGGAGTACGTGAAGCGGAAGCGCTGGAGAACCTGCTGCACCATGTGTGACTGAGTCAGGGTGATGGTGCGCCGTGCTCTATCCCGGGTGATCCGCAAGCCAAGATAGCTTGTCAACTCACCCAGGTCTGTGCACGTGTGTCTCCTCTGCAGCTCCGACTTCACGTAGGCGAGTCCTGCAGTGTCAGCAGTGGCAAAGACCAAGTCGTCGACGTACACGAGGATGTAGAACGGCGGCAGCGAAGTGTCGGTGCGCAGGAACAGCGACGGGTCAGCTGTAGAAGGCGCGAACCCAAGAGCCGCAAGTGTAGTCCTCAGTGTGTCGTGCCACTCACGCGGAGCCTGGCGGAGACCGTAGACCGGCCGCTGAAGCCTCCACTGGGTACCAGGAGGAAACGACCCAGTGAAGCCAGGTGGGCGGCGCAGCCAGATCTCCTCGTGCAGGCTGCCCTGCAAGAAAGCAGTGCTGAAGTCAAGTGAGTGAAGCTCGTAGTCGCGGTGAGCGGCTATGTGCAGCAGCACCCGAAGAGTAGTCATCTTCGGGGTGGGGGAGAAGGTCTGGAAGAAGTCAACTCCCTCTCGCTGACTGAAGCCTCGAGCCAGATAACGCGCCTTGAAGACAGACGGAGAACCCGGCGGCCGCTTCACCCTGAAAATCCACATGCCACTGACGATGTTCGCCCCAGGAGGGGGAACCTCGTCGACGTAGGTGCGTGTGGACTTCCAGGAAGCCATCTCGGCGTCCATGGCTGTCTGCCACTGAGAGGAGTAGGGACCCGCCATCGCCTCAGCGTAAGTGCGCGGGGTCGGGATGTCTGGTGCATCCGGGTCTCCCTCAGGGGCAACTAGCAAGGACACGAGACGGGGCAAAGCAGCAGCAAGACTCTGGAACTCCTCCTGTCTGTCCTCAAGGACGTCCGTGCCAAGAGCACACTCACCCCCGACGGACGGAGGACAGACAGACTCAGACTCAGACTCAGCAACAAGGCTAGCAGCGTAGTCTAGACGACAGGCAGCAGCAAAGTCAACCAACTCAGCGACCAGAGCAGACGCAGCCGAGGACTCAAAGGTAGGGTCAGTGACAACAGTAGCGAGGAGACGCGTGACAGTAGGGTGCTCAGCACGATACCGGTCAGACTCAGGGTCCGGAACGTCAAGCAAAGAGGACGCAGGAGGAGACGGTAGAGGGACACGCTGAGGAGCAGTAGAGGGACGCAGAGTCATGTAGTGAGTGCCTGGGACAGGAGGAGGACGCTCACGACGGACACGACGAGCAGTGCGAGCAGGACGAACAGGCGACGCAGGACGAGACTCAGGCTCATGACGCTCTGTAAGACCTCCTGTGGGACCAGTGTAAGGAGAGGGAGCAGGGAGAGGCGAGGTAGGCGGTAACTGTGACTGCGGCTGGACAGGCGGGGGACACTCTACGGAGGGAGGAGGACAAGGAGGAGGAGCCTGCCCAAGAACCTGCTGAAGGAGCGGTACGAAGTACGGTCGCGGCCGTGCAGCGTCTCCAGAAGCAGAGGAGACTCCAGCGGCCGGGTCCTCAGTACCAGTAGGAGCTCCAGCGTCCGGGTCCACAGCACCAGCAGCAGCTCCACCGGCCGGGTCCTCAGCACCAGTAGTAGCTCCAACGCCCGGGTCCTCAGCAGCAGCAGCAGCGCCACCGCTCGGGTCCTCAGCTCCAGCAGCAGCTCCACCGTCCGAGTCCTCAGTACCAGCAGCAGCGCCACCATCCGGGTCCTCAGCACCAGCAGCAGCGCCACCGCCCGGGTCCTCAGCTCCAGCAGCAGCTCCAACGTCCGAGTCCTCAGCACCAGCAGCAGCTCCACCAGGCGGGTCCGCAGCACCAGCAGCAGCTCCAACGTCCGGGTCCTCAGCACCAGCAGCAGCGCCACCCCCAGGGTCCGCAGCACCAGGAGCACCACTCCGAAGACTGCAGCGCCGTGTGTACCACTCGCGGATCTGCTGAATGGGGGGGAGCTCCTGGGTAGGAGGGGAAGTACCGGGACGAGCTCCAGCAGCACCTCTCCGGAGGCGGCAGTACTCGAGGTACCTCTCCTGCAGCTGCTGGGAGGAGAGGGCTCCTCCAGGTGTAGCACGCTCAGGCTCAGCACCCCCAGACTCAGCACCCCCAGACTCAGCACCCCCAGGCTCAGCACCTCCAGGCTCCGCACCTCCAGGCTCCGCACCCCCAGGCTCCGCACCCCCAGACTCAGCACTCCCAGGCTCAGCACCCCCAGACGCAGCACCCCCAGGCTCAGCACCCCCAGACGCAGCACCCCCAGGCTCAGCACCCCTAGCAGGACGAGAGTCAACAGCTACCTCGACAGGCTCACCCGGGTCTACCTGGGACACACCTGAGGGAGCGGCACCCTGAGGGGGGAGGGGGTCTGGTACCTCAGCACCTGGAGCGAGGAAGAGAGGCGGGGGGGGGAGCGGGGCAGTGCGGTAGGGGAAGAGGCGGTAGTAGGGGACGGACTCGTCAAAAGTGACGTCCTGAGAGGCCAGGACACGACGCGAGGTGGGGTGGTAGAACTGCCAGCCAGGGGCGTCCGGGACAAAGCCAAGGAAGACGCAGGGGACAGCGCGACGGG